GAGGGCTTTATAGCGCTTAACTACTACGCTATAAAGGTAAAAGCTTTAATTAATTAAAATAAACTTAATATAAATAATTAAAAAAAAGATTAATAAAAATATTCTCTTATAAACTTAAGTAAAAGTATTAAAATAAGCGAGTAATTATATAAAGATAATAATATAAGTACTTTAATATATATATATATAATAAGCTAATCTCTCAACCTTTAGATTAAGGGATAAGATTAATTTAATAATAAGGCGAACACTCTATAATTTTAACACGGTGCGTAACAGTTAAATACCTTAACTATTACCATGGCTATGCCAACGACATTCATCTCCTTGGGCAGCCGAAGCACATCTTAAGGCCTATCCAACGGTCTCTGTCTGTTAAAATGTATGTAGTCAGTATAACTCAAGCACCAAGCAACTTGAAATCGCCGGGCGGAGAGCAAACCGTGGCGAGGCATGATGCCGTGGGTCGTCGACTACTGATCAAAATCCAGCCTTTAAGACATGATGGGCATAAATCGTCGCCTTGCAGGCAATTAGAGCTAGCACCGCTACCAAGGTCATTTTCTCCGTTCAGCCCATTACGAGAGGAATTTTGGCAGAATAAAACGTCGTGTTCAAATCGTCGTGTTCTGAAAAGCCCAGCTACCCTATACTTTTCAACTACCTACAGCGGGAGGCAAAAAGTATTCAAACAGGAGTCTTTAAACAGACCAGGTACCTGGCTATGGCGCTCCATGACATAATATACTTTAGTATAACAGTGTATACTTGTCGGTGGGCATATATATTCTGTCACAGACTGTAGGTGGCCATGGCCATTGAAAACTCTTGTAGTGTATTTACAAATCAGTCTCTTAGGGTGTTTTGCCGTGGCAACAGCGGCGAACACAGCTTGCTTACTCTGTAAAAAAGCAAGAGATGGAATGTTTCATCTCAGAATTACTCCATTCGCAAGTCGTGACACTTGAGCACAGCCTTGATTCATTGCCCTCGAAACTGACAAGTCACGTTGATGACGTTCTGCCCCAACAATGCAAGTATCTACTCTGTGGGCTTTATTCGGCAGTTTCACGCATGCACATGGTGCATAATCCAGAACAACTGTTCCCGCGCCGGTGCAAAACACTTGTATACCCATGCCTATAGCGATGGGGCTAGAGAAGGCCATAATGACAAAGTAAAGTCTATTTGAACTGAACCTATTTACACGAAATGTAAATGCTAGATGTGAACAGAAACCCCCAAGACCATTCCCGAGAATTGTAGCTGCAAAGCCGCAGGGCTCGCCTCTCGGCTTGGCAGAATGTCCAGTACCTAGGAGGACGGGGGGACGTTGCCGTCAACATGACTTGTTTCCGGCATCACCAGACTCGGCGACCCTCTCCCGTACCCAACCACACGCACCCCCTTTTCAACCGTTCAGCTTCTCCTCACCGGGGAGGACGGTTCCGTTGGTAACGGCAGCCTGGTGGGCGCGGGCAACGTAGCCCCAGACGGGGAAGTACTCGTCAAAGAAGGGAATCATCTCCTTGGCGCCGGGGGTGTTTCTCCAGTCCCGCATGAGGTCGCACGCAATGGAGAAGAGGCTGACGACATGCACGCCGGCCTGGGTCATGCGGTCGTTGGAGATGTCGCGGACCAGAGCAGACGTGGTTCCCGAGGCCTCGGCGTTGGCCCAGACCGAGTACCCGGCCTCGCGGAGCGACAGGGCGAGGAAAGACGTGCAGACGTCGGTGGTGACGCCGGCCAGGATGATTTGCTTCTTGTTGGCCTTTTCAATGGTGTTGCGGAACTCTACGTTGTCCCAGGCATTGACCTCGCCGTCTCGCAGGATGAGGGGCGCGTCGGGGTACATTTCCAAGATTTCTCGGGGGAGAGGGCCGTTGGGTCCTATTCGACACGGTTAGATGCGGGTGGCCATTTCTCGTCTGCCGGGAGGTGGGAAGGCGTGGCCGATTCACGCACCGACTTGGGTGGACGTGGTCATGACGACGGGAATGTCAAACACCTTGCCCAGGGCGGCATGGGCCGTGATCTGGTCGCGGAACAGGTTCGGGTCAAAGTCCCTGGCGGTATGGAACAGACCGACTTGGTGGTCGACAATGAGGAGCATCTGCCGGCTGTTAGGCGTGTATACAAGGAAGAGGCTGGGATATACCTACAGAGTTGTTCTTTTCCAGGCGTTCAAAGCGAAACTCTGCAAAACGGTGTCAACTTGTATCCCGAAGCCTTTTTTTGTCCTCGTATTGTTCGGCTTACTGTCGTCGGCCGCGGCAGCGACAGCCGCAAGTCCGGCCAGTGCCAGCGAGAGCATCTTCATGATGAAAAAGAGTGGTGAAGTGTAGATGGATTTGAAAGAGTGAAGATGACTAGATTGTTCTGCAAGCTACTTGTAGAGTCGAACTTGATTTGAATCCCATTCCAAGTCCCGTCTGTCCAAGCTTTGTATACATGTCACGGCCGTAAACACGGCGGCGTGTCTACGTTTAGCAAGTTGTAAGACGCCGCTCGTCCCATGTCCACAACCGCCTCATGTAATACACCAGCATACGCTTATCCGCTGCTTACTTACGTTTAGATTCTGGGTCGGTCTCCAGCGCGACCACATACATATGCGGAGTCATTTGCATGCATATACCGGCACCCTATGCGATGCAGAAATTTACAAGAGCAGCGGCGCCAAAGGACGAGCCCTGTTGGTGGATTTGTCGCCTCTTGCCCGTTAGCGGCGGATCTGGCTCTCAACAAGACTTTATGTCATGATTAGTAATGGGTTCTGGACCCCTGTTCCTGGTGCGGCTTGCGTTCAACGTCGCTTGTTTTGCCGCTTTGGGGCCAAGAAACTCTCATTAGTGGAGCTTCACTTTTGGCCTAGTGGTGAGGTGTAAATTTTGTGTGATGGGAAGCGGTCTGGTGGTCGACTAACCAGACCGCATTGGTTCAAACTGCACTCTCCAAAGGTCCAGTCTGGTTGCATTAAAACAACATTAAAGGCGCGACATGGACCAGACGGAACCGCAGACTTGGTGCAAGCAGAGGCAATACACCTTCTTCGCGCTCATCGAGTTGCAAACGGCCCGTCGCATCGGCCATTTCGACCTGTTAGGGTGCCATCGGTGCCTCCCGGACTTGGCGAAGCATCCCAGACACCCACGTGGGGGAGGCGGATGTGGACGAGAATGCATACCACCCGACCATTGCTCGCCTACCTGACCCGACCCGACCATTGTAATTGACCTGACCTGACTATTACTATTACTATTTTAGGTGAAATATAGTAGAGTTATAGTGGAGCTTATAGTAGATACTCCTCTAGGGGTTTAGCGGTTAGGGTTAGTTAGGTTAGGTATTAGGGTTAGCTAAGGGATATAAATAACGAATTAAGTAAGACTATTATACCTAACCTAACTAACCTTAACCGCTAAACCCTTAAGGGGATATCCATTATAAGCTCCACTATAACTCTATTATATTTCACCTAAAATAGTAATAGTAATGGTCAGGTCAGGTAGGCGAGCAATGGTCGGGTCATCTACACTCTCGATGTGGACGGCATCGCTGGCCTATCGGAGTCGCATTGCTGCAAACTTGACTCTTCCGGCCCTGACCCGTGATACAAGGGCGGTAGGTGGAGAGGGGAATAAGAAACTACGGCGATTTGATACGAACCGATCATGCCATGACCCGCAGTAGTCATGAAGGCACGAGAGCAAGATTTGCCTCATTACCAATGAAAAACTAGGACTTGACAGAGCAAGGTTTGGAGAAATCCACAATGCCTTTGGGAAATATGATAAGCAGCTGGGGTTGCTTATGCCAAGGAACCAGCGTCGACTCCAACTATTCACAATCAACTCCCTACTGTACTCCCGCAGCGTTTTACACTATGTTATGCTTACTGGCAGCTATCTTCTACCTGTCAATGTATTGCCCTACGACTCGCACAGACAACTGGTTGCCGAGACCGGGAGAGGTTGAGAACCTACAGTTTGGGGGCCCGGGCAGCACAGAAATTCGCGCACGTGTCCGCACATGTACGGGAATAGCGTTGAACCGGGCCTGGCAGCTGATGGTCCGGCCAACAAGCGGACCAGTGAATGTAGGGCGCCGTCTCCCAAAAGGTCCTGGTGGTTGTGCAGACAAGCGCGCCGAGGCGCGATGCTTTGCGCCCTTCCCGTAAAGTGAAAACCACCCGATGCACGCCGTTCTACAAAGTTGATCTATTTGGTCTTGCATGACTCGCTTCAACATGCCGTCTAACACGCCGCCATGGCCCTTAGGAAAGCTCTGCTCTCATTCCCCTGATTCACCTTTGCCAGAGGCACCAGGTGATGCTCGGCATCGGGATTGCCACGCTGGAGATGGAGAATGTACGCCTGTGCAACAGACAGCCACTTGGCCTTTTCTTGACGGCTCGCACCGGCGCCCTCCCACACCCAGACGCCCTTGCCGCCGTCGTCGAGCAGGTATACGTCGTCGCCGTCGAGGTCCCCTTGTGAAATGCGGCCGCCGTCCTTGACCAGCGCAAAGGTCAGCTGGCCGCTGGCATCGCTCAGACGGAACAACTTTCTCGAGCCGTCGTCGGCTTCGGCCGCGTGTCTCGACGCGGCCGCGGTCATCGGGCGGCGCTGCCTGAAGCCGCCTTGGGGCGCGTCGTCTCGGCCGCCGAGAAGGTCTGTGACGCGGCGGGATCGCGACTCGTTCTGGGCCACGACCTCGACGTCGATGTGCTTGGCGAGCGTCATGTCGTGCACGACCTGGGCGGCCCTGGCCTTCTCCATGGGGCTGCAGTGCCTGCCCTGCCAGACCCAGATCTTGTCGCCGACGTCGAGGACGAAGACGTCGCCGTCGTCCAGGCTGCCGACGGCGGGCTCGACCTCGTGCACCACGACGCCGTTGCCGCCGACGGAGGAAGACGGGTTCGTGAAGACGCGCAGCAGCGTGCGTACGGGCTCCCGGGGGGTCCCGGGCTGCTCGACGTGGCGAAACCCGGTGCGCGCGCCGCCCGACCGGATGGAGAGGCGCGGGAACAGCGACAGGAACTCGTCCGACGGCGCGCTCTGGACCTCGCGATGCTGCGTGGCGGCGCCGTGCAGGAACTCGTCCAGCTCGACCGTCTTGTAGGCGGCGGTGCCGGCCTCGTCGTGCGTCGTGTGGTTGCCCAGCCAGAAGAAGATGTCGTGGCCCAGCTTGTCCGAGCCCTTGCCGGCCTTGTACGAGTGCAGCACGATGAAGCTGTCGCCGTCGTAGAACCGGCCGTACTGGTCCTCGGGCCAGGGCACGACCTGGAACTGCTCGATGCGCCAGACGCGCAGGCCGGGCTTGGTGCCTACCGCGCCGTCATTCCAGGCTGGCTCCGTGGCGGCCGAGTTGTATTTGACGCGGTGGTCCATGTCGGACCCTATGAGCTCGACGTTGCTGTCCTTGATGTCGTATTCTTTGGGGTGGACTAGGCCTTGGTTGGGAGGCATTTTCCTGGCGCTTCGAGGGCCTTGGCTGATGAATTGACGATGGTTGCTTTGAGGGCGGAAGGGTAGAAGAGTCAAGTCCAGATGGCCTTGCCGGAAGAGTTTCAGGGCCCAGGGGTATGGTGGCCGAGAGTTACGTCAGAGGACGGGGCAAGATGGGGTCCGAGGGGTTCGGCTGAGTTTACTTGGTCTTTAACCGGTGCTATTGGCGCTGTCGCGTCGATCCGTCGTATCTATATTGAGACTGCCATGACTCGGGTTGACAAGGCGCATTGTCGCCAACGCGGGCACAGGCACTGGACACCTACAGATGGACGATAGCTCAGGCTGAAATTCCGAGTTATATTGGACTGCCCTGTGGAATTCATGCCATGTGTATTGTATGCCTTCAACTGCATGCGTGCCACGGCCAAGGTCAAGAATCACGCCAATTCACACCCCGTCTTCCCAGTGTGCGGATTCGCAACAATAAGAAGACAGATACCGAATCACCGTCCGGCACATCACCTTGAATGCCTCGCGGCGCAATCACAAAGCTCCCGTGGCAATTGGCCATCTGGGCGTCATACACATCCCGGCTGCTTTGGTGCCAATGGACTCGCCAGTTGATGGAATCCCCTGAAGACGCATCCCCGTTGCTGCATGTGTCTGGCAGTCAATTCTATCTGCCAAGTCATTGGAGAAACGGCGCCAAATCGTCAGTGGCTCAAGGGGCCAGGCCTGAAGCCGCCTCGACAGCCCAAGCATTACCATGACACCAGAAAGCTCGCCAGAATTTGCGTCCAACTTGCTCATCACGCCTCGGCGCAGGCCAAGATCCCCCAGCAAGAGAATCGATGAAGCGGCCGTCAGGAGAAACTCATGGCCTGGCTGGTGGTGTAATTGCCACTTGGCAACGCGTGGTCTGATACAAGCCTTGTACAGCACATTCATGCCATGTCCGTCTCACGCTGGCACCGCTCCTATGGACAAGTACCTTACTTGGGCATGTTTGGCGTCTTGAAAATCTGACCACCAGGTACCGTGCATCGATTCATCGGACTCGCTGCGGAATCCACCATCTCGACAGCCACATGCATGTATAAGACCGAGGCCAAACATGGACTCGGTTACAAACGTTTTCTTATACCGCATCCTCTCACTACTCAAAGCAGCGTTGTTGCCCTCTTCAACTTTGATATCTGCCTCTCCGGAGCTGTCTTGTAATAAATCCTTGTCAAATAGCTCGGCATGCCCGCACAATCCGTCTCATCCCTCACTGTGGAGATTGACACCCCCGAAGCTGCTACAGCCACCCAAGGTTGTGCATCGCAAATTGGGCCAGAAGTGCAAGAAAAGTCAAAGAGGTTTGTTCAGATATCATGTACATTCCATAGGAATCCTGCCAATGCTGAAACATTGATTCCGCATTCAGCAAATCCACGGGCCTCGGCCACAAGGTCATGGCGCAAGCGTCCTACTCGCGGGACGTGATGCTCGGTCGATACATATACGAGACGAGGAGGACCGAGTTGCACATCAATGAGGTTCTCATGGTGAAGAAGACAAAAAATTGAGACTGGACTGGAAAGGCGGGAGGCAGAATGACCCGCCTGCCATGAATATAGTGTGCTGGTATTTGGTTGTTCTAGACAGAGTATAAGCGGACACTTGGAATGTAATACAAAGCCTTGTGAGAGTGCAGCCGGTTGCTCATGTCTACATACGGGGATGAATAATGTGCTGCTATCGTGGATGATAAATACAGTAGACTTGGGGCTTGAGATATCGCGTCATTTCTTCGTTGATGGGCATAGTGCGCTCTCTGCATCCCACGATGCAGTACAGTAGCCCTTCGTAGCTTTCTTTACCACGCGGTTCTGGACATGACATATGAGACTGCACAGTTAAGTGCTCGTGAGCATTCGTCGCAGAAACAGAAGCATGAACAACTTGTCAAGTCAACTCTGGTGTTAAATCAGTGCCCACGTGTACATTGGTAGCCACCAGTACACCACCGTGACTTCAAAGTTCATTTGCATTTTTCGTCTCGACACCTATCAGGGAATCAACCGGTCGATTGTGCATTGGTCCTTTCAGCCGCGTAAGTCCTTCATTGAAAGAAGGCTCGCGCTTCGCCTCTATACGTGACGCTGATGATTTGAAACCGAGCGTTGAGCGCATCTACTTTGTCACCGTGTGCGATTCGCATCAGCGCCCTACACTGCGTAGGGTTAGGGTTATATGCGTGGATATTGCCATTTGCGACGCAGCATCTCGACCTGCGACCCTGGATATTGTGTTTTTTGTCTCTTTTAACAACATCATTGGCGATTGGATCCTCTGTTAAATACCCCGAGAACCCGGGAAATTTAACGCCTTTGATATTCTGCTACACTTCAAGATGTATTCTACCATGACTCTTGCTCTCTCCGTAGCCGTCGAGTTGACCAACGATGAGCTACTGGTATTTACTTGAGAACAATGCCATGTCCTATTTCGCCTCCGTAGCTAGCACCCCGATCAAGCAGCCGCCCTTACCGCACTCACCAGCTCGCCATTAAAATCACCTGTCATCTCCCACGCCATCGCTCCGGCCAGACCCTTGGACTTTGCAAACTTGACCTTGGCCCTGAGACTTGCAGGATCATCATACGTGATGAACGTCTTGTCCTCGGGATTAAATAGCCAAGGAGTCATTGTTATATTGTCAAAGGTCCTCACCCAGGGGGCGCTCGCCGTGGTGGGCGTGCTCAGCACGCCTTGTTCTCGGAGATTGGCGTACGTCCAAGTTCCAGAGAAGGCCCTTGTCCCGTTTACCGTCGTTGCTGAGTTCGGAGGGCACACTTCGGCCGTGGGCGCATCTAGTCTGTCCCCCCTTGGGACTTGCTTTGAAAAGCCCTGGTACTGGCTCATCGGGTTGGCCGCCAACATGTCCACCGTCGCGGTCAAGGAGCGGCCGTAAAACGCGAGGCCGCTTGTGAGCTGACCAGCCGGCCAACCCGCCTTGGTCCACGCCTCAATCGCAGTCGCAAACGACTGCTGTGTTGCCTTGCCCCGTTCAAAGTTCAAGGGGGCATTGGGCCCTGTTGTTTGTCCCCATGCGCCATTCATGTCATATTGCATCAAATTCGCAAAGTTGACCACCTTGGCAAACTCGGACACGTCCTCTCCGCCGGGTCCGGCAAACGGCGTCGTTCGCACAGCTAGCGTAATTAGCTTGTCTCTTCCAACCTTGGTCCGCAGGCTCTTCAAGTACGCCAGAAAATTCCTCGTGTCGTTTTCCTTGTCGAAGAAGTTGCAAGGACTTCCCGCTTGACCCGGGTACTCCCAGTCAATGTCAATGCCATCCAGGTTATGCTTCTTCATCAGCTCGATAATGTTCATCGTCAAGGCCGCGCTAAGCTCCGGCTTCTTTGTGATATTGGACAAGAAAGCCGAGCCGGTCCATCCGCCGACAGAAACAAGGACCTTGGTATTATGACCCTGGAGCTTGGGAACAATCTCGGGCATCAATTTGTCGCCTTCAAATTCCAGATTTGCGTCTTCATCGGGTATCGCAAAGGCGACGTTGACGTGGGTATAGTTGGACAAGTCGAGCTTGGAAAGAACCTCGTGCTTCCAAGTAGGATAGTACCCTACGATGATGGGGGGCGCGGCGAGCGCAGGAGCGAGGTGGCACAGCACCGCTGTCAGAAGAACGCGTCCGAATTGCATAATGGACACGGCGAGGATGAAGCACCGTGGTGATGGCCGTGGTGCCGGCTGGTGGTCAACAGCTTGGTGACAAGTCGGTCGCCATCAAGAGCCGTATGCCTCGACTTTAAACATTTCAACTGCTGTCTCAACATTGCTTAATTAGCTCTCGGTAACTGCATTCCGGCCCGAATGCGCCCACTTTACGCCCTGTCATTTAACGGGTCATGCTGGCGCATGAACGTCTTTGATTGTTTGTGCTGATGCCGAAACAGACAAGGTTATCGCGGAATCATGCCGAGGGAGGAGTCGACGCTTGAGACCCCTAAACGAATGGCCAAAGTCTATTGGGCCCTGCAGCTGTTACAAATTAAGTTACCAGACGTCCAAACGATGAATTATGCCGCCGTAGAGCCGGCACTGCCTCTTCAGGCCCATAAATTCGTCGACATGCGACGAATTGGTAGGAGCTCGGATGAGCATGTCAAGATCCAAGTCGCTCAATCAAGTTAGCAGCAACTGTTTCCTGACCCTGTAGATTTTGCGTGTGGTGGTTTACCGCTGGCTGCGGGACTACATTTCTCTGAGCCCTGCCGTTGTTTGAAGAAACATGGATACTTTTAAATTCTCAAGTGATGAGGCAAGGTGGTCAATGCCAGAAGATTACTTGGGCATTCAAGAGCTCTTTAACGAAATACGAGAGAAGATTCTCATTTCTCAAGTGACGAAGCAGAGCTGATCAATGCTCATAACCACCGAAATTGTGGCTCCCTCCTTCTGGCAGGCCTACACCAAGAGTTCTCAACTATTCAGAAGCACCAGGGCAGCGTGCAGCTCTTACGGAGCTCAAGCTTTGTACAACACCCATTAAAAGCAGCCCGCCGATGCTGCATTGGTAAAAAGGCAGCTAAGAGCACCGAGATTCAGGTCAGTTACGCGAAATGCAGCTATAACGTTGCTAAGGGTCGTAGGGCCGAACAACCGTCCTAGAAGATGCTGGTAATTCTCGTAATCTTCGCGCTTGAACTCTACCTAGCACAAATGTCAAACCATTGACGATTGTAGAATAAACGAAGCCTTGTTAGGCGGAGAGTTATAGCGTCTAGATATGTGGTATCTAAGTTGGTATTTTCCAGACATCACATTTCCAATTAACAGTAATAATATTCTCTCTAGAATTAATCTGGTTCTTTAGGAGAAAAACGCTTTCAGCTCCACGGCGTATGGCGCCCTATGTAGGGTGAAACTTATCCCCTATAATGCATTCAAATTCGAAATACGCATACCAATAATTTTATGACATTCAGCAGCTACGTCAAGTCTGCTTGTTTGACCAAAAGAGGCAGCACGATTAAACAGTGAGCGCAAGGCCCGCTCGAAGCGTGTTAAATTCATTTTGCCCAGGGTTAATACTCTGCAATCGTTTCTCGAGTTGGAGACTAGCCCCGAGCCTGCTTTCCACCATTCTCAGTTCTAAATAGGGACAAGGCTCGACCACTGTTCTACGACAACGGCCACCTGGTTGCCCACTATTGCCGCCTCACAGTGTCATGGTGTCGCCTGCCGCACCATTGTACTGCGTCCTCTAAGGGCGGGCTTGAATATTGTAAGAGCCCAGGTTTGATGAAACAAAGACACGTACCGGAAGCTGTATTTAGCATCAAACGGAAGCGAAATTCTCCGAGAGTTGGGAGAACATAGGGGAAGATTGCGACCCTTTAAGATGGCAAGGCAGCTTTATATGTGTTGTTGTCTAATTCATGAAAATAGCATCGAGCTACCCTTGTCCTCCAAATTTTTCTTTGCTAAATCAGACTCATGTCGCATTAGGTGGCACACGTATTCGAAGCCGTTTGGCGATCCCTAGTCTTCTTTCTAGAAACCTGTTTATTTTACTCCAGGGAAATTGATATTGATTATACAAGTTGAAACCGGAATAACCCCAATAGCGTGTGTAACCCTCTACGGCTACTCGAGCCCTCTCCCCGGCACAACCTGCACGACCATGACGCAACTAAAGGAATTATCTTCCATCAACATTCCCAGTGCTGCAAGTATGAGTTACGAAAGACTATTCAGCACAGGTGCGAGTGACTTGACAGAGGAGCCAGATGAACATGTTGGACAGAGATGCTACAACCTGCCAGTCTACATAGGGCGAAATATACTGTAGATAAGTTCGCAGGGAATATTAGTACCATTTTTAAGAAAAAGCGGTTCCGTCTTCAAGGGTACCTAAAAATGCTACTATTAATTTGAATTTAGACTCGCGTAAAGACAAGCGAGATGTAGAACTAGAAATAATTAGAAAGCGCTTATACCATGATTCTTAATCTAGAACTCAAGCCTTTTATTAACTCATTAACTTATATAAATGGTAATATTTTCTGAATAACACTATTATTTGTGCTAGCAAAAGCTAAATAAATCTTGCCGGCTGTTACCCGGGGCAGGCTGCCGTAACTAGTGTTCTCGCCTACCAAGTGCACCTCAGAGTACTCGAGCCGGAGGCGGTAAAATCCACGGTACACGGTAGGGCAACAGGACTCACTGTGTGACGAATTGGAACGTGATCAAGGTCATGCCTGCGTGGGAATGCTTACAATAATAACTTGCTGACAGTCGGCAAGATTCAGCTTAGTAAATTGCATACCACAAAAACTCTTCTCGATATGAATAATAGTAATAGTCCAAGCTGAGTATATTACCAAATATCTAGACGGTTATAATTATACGAAAGATGTAGAAATGGAAAAAAAGTAGTAGAGCTCAGGGAGCCCTTGACCTGGACGCAGTTAATGCCAACTAGTTGCTTGCCGGAATCCCGACCTACTGGACCGGCACCGAGGCGAGAGCGCAAGCCGAGCCACCACCGAGCTCGGCCCGTTACAGAACTCGCTAGCTAGCTGTCGCAGAGGATATAAGGGGGTAAACCACACAAAATACTGTGGCGTGGCCACGCCCGTTTTTTGTGTGTGACAGTTATGAGCCCGGGAGGGCACGCTAAGCCCTGGAACTTCCGGATCACCTGAAATTACTACGAGCCTGACCTTATACGCCGAGTTTGAACCCCATCACAGGCCACCAGACATCTGGACCCCAGATGTTGTAAGGCCCTACATAACGCTGCTATCTATCCTAGACATGGAAGATAGTTTTAGCTGTAGCGGTAGAAAGATGCCTAACGAATACACACGACTGACCGTGTAACATTACAGGATTTAAGCGCTTACATAGCTCTAGCCATACGAGTCTGCTAGAGCTAAGGGGTGTGTCGCAGAGGATATAAGGGGGTAAAACACACAAAATACTGTGGCGTGGCCACGTCCATTTTTTGTGTGACACTAGCTAGGCCCCACTTAAACTCTTCCAAAGAGACAAAAAACTATCATGAATTTATAATTATGGGGATACACTGCTAAGCTATCATAGGACGGTGACCGACCTGTACCTTTCAAAACCTGCCCGCAAGCTTGACAAGTACACTAAATTTATGGCTCGGCATGTATGTGACCATGGGATGGACTATGTTGCCGTCAACCTGGTACTGTACATACCGTCTGTGATTACACGTATGAATCGGGCAGTTGTGATGGACCACGTCGAGCATCGACGCGGGGCTGCGTGAAACACGTGGCGTTGATGAATCGCAAAGATCCCATTCATTAGCTGATAATAGCTATTTATATTAATTTAGTAAAAGAAATAAAGAAAAAAGAGCCAGATAATCATGTAAGTCATCTAGTAACACTATATTTTGGCGGTACTAGGCCAGGGAACTGTAACCAACCACGCAGTACACCATGTTGGCTATTAATATACTTTCAACTATAGGAATCATTTGAAAGTCCGATTCAGCATGTCATGGCAGCACGGGGGCCGTAGCATATTCGTCATTGCAGTCTGAAAATGAAAACAATATGAGGACCTTTTATATGTAGGATCGCTCTGTTTGCAGCTGTTCAGTCAAAGCGACGAAGCCAAGAAACGCGAACTAGAAAAGCATGTATGCTCCGACTATGATGCCTACGATAGCTCATGTCGTATCTATAGCTTGGCGCATCAAGAGGGAATCGGTTCTCAGGAGGCGGGAGTGCGGGAATGTCAGGTAGGAGGGAGATCCTTTGGTCTCTTTGGAACGACTTCGCGTTTGGGGGGAGTGATGAGTGTTACTGTGATGCTCGTGACTCCCACAACCACTTCTACTGATTCATCTCCATTCAATGAGACTCAGGAATTCTAGCCTCAAATGCTTACTTATGTTTCAGAAGGAACCGAAGATCCTATAAGTCATGATATCTTTGCCAAAGGTCGATCCAAGAGGTCTAGGTTCTTTTGACTACAATCAATCGGCTTCACGTGTCGTATGTCCCTATGTCGCAAGTCGTCGCACTTTATATGTGTTAGACATACGGGTCACATTAGTGGTCACAACAGGGACAGTCCATCTACCTGCACATCCAATCTATCACATCGCTTAGCATAAATCAAATCCCTACCAGCTCGGTATAATTTCAAACATCTATGTTAGAATATCTTTAGTGCCTCATTTACGAAAATTATCTACGATAGCCATCATTTCATTCGACAATCAAAATTGGAAGCTACTCGGTGGTTTATTTAACCTCGCCTCCCTTTCCATGAAGAGGTGCAAATGCAATTTCTAGCGGCTCGTCCATACCAACAATGTTGACGTCTGGGGGCATCTCTTTGAACAATGTTCAGGCAAATTGCCGTTGTACTTGGACGTCGGTGGCCCCGAGTCGTGGCAACGGGTGCCTTTAGCAGCGTACATGTGGCAGATGTACGCTGGCTCCAGGAAACCATTCGAAGAAGACAATGTGCTGACGATGAGCGGATGAATCCTCCAACTTGCCTATGGCATGATTCCCCAGAGTCATCCGCATACTGCACTTATATCCAGTCAGCCCAAAAGTCTGATGGCACCACGCGTGGATTTGTTATTTGAGACCCTTGTTCACATAAATAGGCAGTATGTTTTGAAGTTTTTTATTTTATTCGACCTATCCAAATGCTCGTGCAAGCACTACATCAAGCAAGGCCCAATGAATCAACACCATGTGTCTGGTCGTACCCAAGCCAGAGAAGTGTAACATACCGCGTCGTACACCATGAATGCATCACGCTGCGTTGAATGCTAGTAGATTGGTGAAAGACACCAAAAAAAAAAATAAACCGCTAAAATAACACTGTCCGGTAGTTTTACCTCATACCAGAGGATCGCAGTATGTCTATATCTTCCCCGAGATTCATGTGTCAACCCTCAAACTGGCTCCGTCTTGATTACCGGCTCGCAGAGCACACGGGAATCCAAACCATCCCTTCTCCCGCGTTTCTTCGCTTGCCGTCGTTGGGGCCCTAGGTTCCGCAATAAAGACGCTAGGTAACCCCCGTCCTTCTTGGCCTCTCCCTTGTCGATTCTATGTTTGGGCTGCAGCGTGTATTTGCGGAACGCCCTGAAATCATTCCAGACCTTGACCCCGCGTAGAGTCCGTCGCGCGTCGATCAGGTCCACGATCTTGACAAGCGTGTTCTTTAGGCGCTTTTTACACTCGGCTTCGGAGTCGCTCACGGGAAGGCCGACCTCACGACACAGCGCTTGGTATCCCTCGAGTTTCGCGTCATCGGTGAGCTCGGGCTCCTCGGGTTTGCAAAAGTAGTGGGTTATCAGCTCCTGTCTCAAGGCAATGGTGCGCTCCCGGGTGTATTGCTGGGAGCCGGGTACCCAGGACTGGGAGGATGCGAGGCGGGCGAATTCATGCTCAAACGGCGCGTCGGCGTTGGGCGTGAAGTCTTCGAATTTGGCGAAATGTGACTGAGACGCGGGCGGGGGGGACTCTTGTTTGATTGACATTTCAGGCGGCTAGCCTTGGCTGCAAAGAACCAAGGCAAGAATTTGATGGTTGAAGGAAGTCTGGTCCGGTATCTGGGAGTACAAGGCGCCGACTAGAGTGTAAAAACGGGTACCCGTGGGCACCCGTGGGTATCCAAGTTTTTCTTGGGTTATTTGTGGGCTACCTATTTTATCATGTAAGTGGTTTAGGTATACCACGGGTAATCTAAGAAAAAGATAAGTACCTTATAAATACCTATAAAATGTATAATAATATAATATAATAATGTAAATTAATTTTCTTAAATTAATTATAATAATTAATTATAATAATTAATATTAACTCTTTAATATTTAATTATATTTATAATAAGTTTTAAGT